CTGTCATTTTGTGAAATAATGATACCACATATAATAGTGTAGTGATGAACACAAAAATCGATAAACAATCAGTGTGTGTGTTTTATAATAAATGTTACAGAAAGTGACAGGATAGCGATAGCGATGACGGCGACAATTTATAAAATAACTTATTACCATAATACATCTATCTGTTTTATTTGTCATGTTCCTTCATGATTACGTTTTTTTTTTATTTCACACACAATTATAAAAGAAAAATCTCAGATCGTTAATTAATCGTCAAAACTAAATTATCCGTTCAGAAATATTTAATTTCCTGATATACTTAGTTTACGAGAGTAAAATTATAAACGAGAAGAATCGATCCAGAAATATTGCATTTCCATATCGAATAATTTCGCAACGTCACTATTTAGTACTTGTCATAACGTTGCAACACTGAAATTGTCAAATCTGGAATCGAATTAAAATTCCGAGTATAGGTAAAATTTTTAGTGACAAATATCTACCAACGTGACTTTTCCAGTCATTTTATTTTAGTTACAATTATTTTGAATATTTTAACATTATTTAGTTAGACAAGTAAGTAGCACTAAGTGTGGGAGAGCTATGCTTCGGCACGAATGGGCCGGCTCGACTGGAGTGATACCACGGCCTCATAGAAAACCGACGTGAAGCAACGCTTGCGTTGCGTTTCGTCGTGTGAGTGAGGTTACCGGAGGCCCAATTACCCGGCCCTTTCCCAAACTCCCCAATCCCTGAATTCCCAACGATCCTCAAACTCCTAATCCCCAAAAGGCCGGTAACGCACTTGTAACGCCCCTGGTGTTCCAGGTGTCCATGGGGGACGCCGATTGCTTACCATCAAGTGATCCGTCTGCTCGTTTACCGGCTATTGTAGTGATACTCGTTTATTGGTTTTAAACCACATTGGACTTTAGAACCTCAGGAGGCAGGAGAAATAAAGAGTACCACCATTACAATTCACCTTATATTGTTAACATCGAAATCAAATGCAAATTCAGAACTAGCTAAACCATAACTATTAATTGGAAAGAAAAACAACAACAACAACACATAAACAGGCAAATTGACTTTCAAATAGAATAAAATTCCCTCAACACCATTTGGTGTATTTACACCATCTCAATAATTTCCGAGTTCCCGCCATCTTGACTTTTTCATTCTTCGAACCACAGATTATATTTTCCCGCTACGCGATGACGTTTCGTTTCTTTTTGTCTTGCTTCTAACATTACCTATAGTTTTTTATTTTGTTTTATTGCATATTACATAAACCTATTTTCGCTAATTCTATATTTAACCCAAAGGTTAACAAGGAGAAAATGCCTTATGGCATTAAGTCTGCCTTATGTTTGTGTGCAAGAGTTAATAATTACGTAAATAATTTTCACAATAATCTGTTCGTTCTGTCAAAATCAATACAGAGATTTTAAATTAAAATCTGTTACATACTAAATAATTAGTTTTTAGTCGATTTTATATTCTGATTTAATTATAATCAAATGATAGGTAATAGAATAAACAAGTCCTCTCATCTCGCGTCTATCTGCTCTTTTTTCATTTTGATAAATGTAACTAATCCTTTTGTACTACAGTCTCCAACCTCTGTCATGTCAATGCAATTTCAATCCAATAAAATCTCAATAATTATTCAATGTCAAAACTGTACAACCCTTATCGTAGCTGGTAAAATAGCACACAGGGTACGGAAGCCAAACTCCATTTAGTTCATTCAATATCCACGCAATACGGATGCAATTGTCGCTAGTGTTTAGAGATGGGATTTTACCCGGAAAAAACCCGAATATGGGAAAAAACCGGGAAAAAACCCGGGGAAAATTCCCGAATGGGAAAACATTCGGGTTTTTTCATATTTAACACATGTAACAAATAAGTAATGTGTAGATTATGTACATATCATATAGTACGTACTATTTAAAAACTATTACTACAAGTTAGAGCTAATCTAACTTTGTTTATGTTCATATTGCAGTAATAACGTTCTTAATATCCTTAGGGACCTACTATCAAATGAAATAAAATGAAATTAAACAAAAATCCTGTCTGTTTGTGTGTGATCCTCCGCTCTTAGCGACAGGTAACCCGAAAATACGTGAGCGGGTAGAGGGGCAGGGAAGCAGGTAGTAGAGGGGCGAGCGCGTTGGTGATCTATCTATCTCACACGTTGTTTCGGCTTCATACTGTGCGCACTCGTGTTAATTTGTTGGTTTAATTGACGACTTGGATTTTGTTTGGTGGACTTTTGGTTACCTAATCCTTTGAATTGACAACAACTGCTACTCTTACGGACTTTGATACCTACTTTTTTTACGAACGAAATTTACCGGTAAATTTACAGTTTTGTAACTTTTGTAAAGTATAATAAATGATTGTTAGTAAGAGTATCTCTCGTTGTTTTAATTATATTATTTTAGTCAAACATTCTTTAAAGTTTAATAGGTATTTTTTCTGCTGTTAACATTCCATCACAGAGCGCAGTAAAAACTTATTATAAAACAAGAAGACGTCTTTATGGTGTTATAATAAATATGCTGGTTATGTTTTAGTCCTTGAAATAGACTACACATTTTAACGTTTCAAATAACAGACAACAGCTAGTGCCTTATACACGCTGGTGCTAAGTACTACTCTGTCAAGAAAGTACCGGGAAAAGATCAATAATACAAAAAATTTCTGTTATTCATCCAAATTTATTTTATCACCTTTAAACTGTCAAACACCGAGCGGTCGGTGTTTGACAGTTTAAACTGTCACCGGTGACCGCAACCAATTGTTCTTTAATTGTCTGTAATGACGGTACTCAACGAGTTAAAGTATGCTCCTTTAGAGACGATACACTTGCGCCAACGAATAATCTATTCATCAAAACATTTTTTAAACGCTGCTTCCAGAATTGAGTTTAGTTCTCGCCGCGAATTCTCCTTTACGTCTTCTATCGATTGAAAACGGGTGCCACGAAGTGGTAATTTGAGTTTAGGAAAAAGAAAAAAGTCAGCAGGAGCCATATCTGGTGAATATGGTGGTTGCTGGATGGTATTTGTTGAGTGTTTGGTCAAAAATTCGTTCACCTTGATGCCACCAATGATAGCCTTGTGCGAAGGCGCTTTCTCGTGGTGCAAAATCCAAGAATTTTCTTTCCACAAATCTGGCCTTTTTCGTAGAATTTGCTCTCTTCAACGCCGCATAAAGCTCAAATAATATTCTTTATTTACCGTTAGACCTTCCGGTAAGAATTCAGAGTGCACAACAGCGCGATAGTCAAAGAAAACAGTCAACATGACTTTGACTTTTGATCGACTTTGGCGTGGTTTTTTCGGTTTCGGTTCAGTTGGAAGGCGCCACTCCGAAGCTTGTTGACTAGTTTGCATGCCAAACTCATAAACCCACGTCTCGTCACCAGTAACAATGCGTTTCATGAATGTTGGGTCCAAACTGACTCGTTCTAGCATATCCTCAGCGACTTTCATGCGATTGAGATTTTGGAGAAAATTTAGATCTTTTGGAACTAGTCGAGCAGCAACATGTTTCATACCCTTTAATGTATAGTATAGATTAGTTAAAATGGTACGGATCGACTCGTGAGATACAGAAAGTTCGGCGGCTATCTCTCTCAGAGTTGAATGGGGATTTTCAGTCACTATTTCCTTCACTTTTGCGATGTTAACTATAGTTGCAGACCAGAGCGAGGCAAATCTTCCATCACATCTCGACCGCTTTTGAACGCTTTGAACCACTCATAAGCACGAGTTTTTGATAAAGTCGATTAACCGTAAGCTTTCTGTAACATTTTTAGTGACTCCGAACACGAAATTCCATTGGCGATGCAAAATTTAAGACAAACTCTTTGATCGATATTTGTATCCATTATGAAATTCACAATATACATTATATATGATATTTCTGAAACCAGCGCTGTATTTAATATAAATAACAGATGCAACTCAAACTCCGCGCCAAAATGGAAAACAGTTGTGCCTATCTAACAACTACATAAAAACAAAAACTTGAATTTGGAACCATAAACAAATCATCCATTCCCGATACTTTTTTGAGTGAATGTAGGTATATGCGCATCACAAAGTACCTATTTATTTAGTTCTGAAAATAAAAATAGAATAAGATCATTATAAATGAAAATACCCGCCTATTGGGTTTTTTCCCACATAAAAACCGGGTTTTTTCCCAAATGGGAAAAATCCTGGGTTTTTTCCCTTTGGGTTTTTTCCCAGTGCCCATCTCTACTAGTGTTGCAACTCAAGAGTACGAAATTTCACAATACCAATGTCGATCGATCGGAATTGGATTCAAGAGTAAGCCCCCATATCAGTTAGATACACCACCAGGTGATCCGTTACTTACTTGTTTACTTTCTATTTCATTACAAAAGAAGGAGCTTTAGTCCAGCACTGTACTGCTACTGCTATCCACAATGATGATGATGACGATGACGATGTGATAAATAGGCCAGTAAACGAATTGAAAAAATATTTGATGGTAAGTAGTAATCGTTGCAACGGCAACGACAAATACCTTACGTTTCAGGTGTTCATGACGTTCATGAACACCTGAAACGTAAGATATTTGTTTTATTCTATAAATAAAGATTATTTGTTTTTTGAAAATTCAAGAAAAATTCACCTCATAGTATATGGATCCACAAAGATAGACCTACTTTGTATTTTTGTGTTCAAAAATATGCAATAAATCAACCAAACCGACATAATTATTGTTATTTTGCTCTTGTCTATGTGCTAAGACTTTAGAATTCATCTTTATATTACCTACGTAACTTTACTTTATTTTATTTATTTATATTACTTACTTTACTTAACTTTATTTATTTTAAGTTACAATATAATAAATAACTTAAAATATTATTTGATTCCACGCAAAAATATAACCGATTAGTCAAATCAGTACAACCTGTTCATTTACTAAAACTAAAATGACGTGAGTGCAGAGTGAGACATTGCACATCACTAGTCGCAAGTCTCCGAGTCCCCGTTGAATCTCATCGTATCTGCACGTCTAATGAAATGAATTAAAATATCGTGATTCATGTGCCAATGAACTAAAGTATTCGTAACAATTGTGTGAAACATTAATTACGAGAGTGTCAAGACAATTTTACCAACAGATTTGACGGGTTACTTCGCACCTGAGTGTAATAACTCGCCAGGTAAAACACTATTATAGTTTCTTGTTTGTGTAAATTATTAGAGAAGGTTTCGTCCTGTTTTTATTGTTTATGTTAGATAAAACTTAAGTTGATGAGTTAAATTTTGTTTTAATAGTCTCCGCGTCCTCGTCTGCTCCTAAGGATACCCACTGACTATCTTGGTGCTAAGAAGGGGTGTATTTTGGCATGTACTGGTTTCAGCTTTGTACCTTATAATTCCGTCTCTTACTTTCTTTTGAGAAAAGACGAGGATAGAAGATTGATAACAATTTTTTTTTCTATAATACTGCTCTATTTCCACGTGCGTAAGTATTAAACCGTGATGTTAATCAGTAATGACTTTGTGGATAGCACAAAGTCATTACTGATTGTAATGACTTTGTGCTATCCAATATGAAATGGAACCACTTACCTTTTTTTTTTAATTTTATCAAATCCTTTGAACTTAAAAAAATGTAATATATTCCTTTTACAACAAAATGCTCTCATTGTAAAGGTAACTAAATTGTCTTTTACATGACACACATTACCAATTAATAAAATAATGGTATCAGACAATGAAAAAGAAAACGCTAGTCTCTGCTTCCAAGTAGTCTTAGAAGTGGTTTTCAAGGTGATAGGTGGTAGTACTAAGACCTATGTCGCCATCTATAGGCTTAAAATGGAAACTCTAAGCCATGGAGGTTTGGAACAAAGTTTTTTATATTGAGGTAGTTAGTAAGATCATTTATAGATTGGCAATCCGTCAGCATTCCCTTACCTTCCCTTAGCACACTACATGTCATACTGCTTGCTACGGGCAGTAGTTACAGCTGTGTACAGTCTGCCACCCTCTTAACACTACCCTATACTCCCGTAGAACGCTACATGTCACACAGCTTGCTACGCGCAGTAGATACAGCTGTGTACAGTCTGCCACCCTATCAACACTACCCTATACTCCCGTAGAACGCTACATGTCACACAGCTTGCTATGCGCAGTAGTTACAGCTGTGTACAGTCTGTCACTGTCTCAGCCCACCTCTACACTCCTCTAGCGCGCTACATGTAACACAGCTTGCTACGCACAGTAGTTACAGCTGTGTACAGTCTGCCACTCTCTCATCACTACCCTACACTACCGTAGAATGCTACATGTCACACAGCTTGCTATGCACAGTAGTTACAGCTGTGTACAATCTATCACTCTCTCAGCATTCCCCTATACTCCCCTAGCATGGTATATGTCACACAGCTTGCTATGCGCAGCAGTTAGAACTGTATTTAGCCTGCACTGTAACTAGTGCTGAGAGAGCTCAACACTCACCTACACTCCCAAAGCATGCTACAAGTAATACAAATTGTTTATTCATGGGATAGCTGGGTGACGATTCCAAGCGGTATTCCTCAGGGATCTCTAATTGACCCCCTACTTTTAATCATATACGTGTATGACATCTACATCTGCTTCCATAGTTCTAATCTTCTTATTTTTGCTGAAGACATGAGGATTTACTCCAAAATAACATCGGTGGAGGATATGCTGGCTCTCCAGGATGACTTAAAGCACCTGGATGAGTACTGCCAGTTGAATAAATTTGACCTAAATCTCGCAAAATGCTCAGTTATTACTATTATGGACTTTCTTTAGTAGAAAGTGGTTCCCGATGATTCATCCATACGAGCTGAAGGGTCAAGCTCTGCAAAGGTGTGACGGATTACGTGACCTTGGTGTTTATCATGATGTAAGACTTCAGTTCGATATCCATATTGATCAAATAATAGCTAAGGCTTCGAAAGCGCTTGTTATGAGAATATCTAGGTGTTCTAAACAGGCAATGACATTTATTTTATACTGCATATTTGTAAAAAGGGTACCTCGAATATGCTTCTCAGATATGGAACTCATATTATTATTATTATAATAAATATTACATAGAATTAAAAACATCTAGGAGCAATTTGTAAAATTTTTATGTTATCGCCTGAAAATTGACTGTCACAGTGCAGACTGAATCTTTGCCAGAGATTTCACTTGCAATCCCTTGTAAACAGGCGTAGATTGGAGGATTGTTCATTTACCTATGTTAAAAATACTATCTAATGACATTTACTGCCCTAAAATATTGCGGAGATTTCATTGTAATGTTCCCTGTAAATCATTTAGGTTCAGTGTACCGATATCAATATTTTCTTCCTCAACCAACTATCGGAGTAATTCGTATATTGTGCGAGCGAGCAATGATTTCAATAAACTCTGTAAAGATTTGACCTATAACTGTGGCATGCAGGCAGCTGAACCATGATTTCTTTAATTCATAGTGGGTACCTATACGGTCCTTAATATTTGGGGTAATTTGTGCATCATTATAATATATTGGAAACCAGTAATTAGCTTCTTGTTGCATACCACATTCTTTTTAAACTGTCAAACACCAAGCGGTCACCGGTGACCGCAACCTATTGTTCTATAATTGTGTCTACAAAACCGGTACTCGACGAGTTAATCAAATTGTAGAGCTGTTTCTTTTCCAAATGTATAAATAAATAAAAAAATAAATAAATATGGTCCGAAGTAGATGATTCAGTGCAAATCAATATAAGTTCCAGCAGTCACCACGCGAAACTTTGTTTTGCCAAGCTGTATACTGTAAATTGCTTAAAGTGTTGTGTTACTAATTACTTATTAATAATAATCGTTATTTCTATTGGTGGTTTGAATTGTACTTTTTTTTGACATGGTATTAAAAAAATTCTCAGTAGTAGCACAGAGTCTGGAATTGTGCCCGGTATATGGCAATAGGCTCACCCCCTATTACATGGGACTCATAACATAAATAGTGAAAAGTTAGTGTTACATTGTACAGTGGCAAAATGTTTTTTGTTTTATGGCATAAGCCGGTAAACGTGCAGACGGATCACCTGATGGTAAGCAATCGGCGTCGCCCATGGACACCTGGAACATCAGAGGCGTTATAAGTGCGTTACCGGCCTTTTGGGGATTAGGAGTTTGAGGATCGTTGGGCATTCAGGAATTGGGGAGATTGTGGAAGGGGAGGGTATTGGGCCTCCGCGCCGGTAAGCTCACTCACACGTCATATAATGCGGCGGATTATACAATTCGCCTGCGACAGACACATTGTAGAACAAAAGTGCCAAGCAATAAAAACATGTTTTTAACATTTAATAATCTCCCAAACAAAACTAAATTGCTAGATTATTTAAGCCATTTACGGACGACTGGGGTGGGCTCATAACTGAATGGCAGTGTAGATGGGAATCTTCCCACCACCACCACCTTTATCAGTTCTTCCCATCCGTGCGTGAGCGGCTGGAGAGGACATAGTTGGAGGTGGATCACTGTGTTGCCCAATTTCTTACTGGCCACGGCAACTATAAAAGCAAATTGTTCTCATTTAAACTTGTTGATTCACCATGGTGCCAATGTTCGACAGCGGAGTTGCAATACGAGCAGTCCACCCATCATGTACTCTGGGAGTGGGATCTCTGACAATATGAACGTATTAGATGCATGTTAGATAATTTAATTGTTTCGTCAGGTGTAGCTTATTATACGGACCTTGTAAAATTTAGAACAAATTTCTGAGCGTTTAGGAACTTTTTTGAGTATAACAGCTCAAACATAGGACCCACTTAGTTTTTAGTCAAATTCCATGGTGCTTGGCGACTGGGCTTTTCCCAGTTGTACAGTCTCTTTTTATAAAAGTCTAAGTCATTCTGTCTCCTGCAGTAATTCACAGAGGGATCTGGAAACTATTGTTTTTTTTCTTCTCCTCTTATAATATCCTCTGATTCATTCCGTTGCGGGAACCAAGATAGTTATTCACGTCCCTGGGACGCGCCGGACTTCAGTGTTCCGGTGTTTTCATGATTGTATCTACTGTAGGTAGATCCTAGCTTACGGGAGTTGCAGCGGTTGTAGGAGGTGGCGGGCTTGTTCCACCAAAAATATGTCCCAAAGCGTTCAAAAAACGTAACATCAATTGAGGCGATCCTATTTATAGTTGCCGCACAACAGGATACGATTTCAGACTGCGTACTATTGTACGTCCCAGTCCCAGGATATGTTATACGTAGCCATGTGTCTTAATTGCAACTAATAATTTTAATAAATAACTAATTTATAATTATCTCATTTTACAGAATGTCATCAAAAACTTCACGTAAAGTACCAACTCGATCCAAAGTTGAGCCGATAGTCACACGAACGAAATCAGCGCAGCAAAGACGTCAACTTAAAAACAAAGAAAAGAAAATCGAAAAACCGGAACTTACTAAACAACAAATAAAATCGACTAACCTAAAAACCGATAAATGCCCGAAAAAGGCTCTACCTGAGCCTATTCAAATTCCTGATGATGTTATTGAGCAAGTAGAGTACTATCCGGATAAGTTAAAAAGAGATGTTGCCGCCAAGAAGATCAGGTTAAAACCGAAACATAATTTTACAGTCATCGCTAGTACAAATAAAAGAAAGTTGGCCACGCCACAGAAAGGTAATTGTACAATTCTTGCCTCCTCCAATATCCATTCGTTTGTCCCCGCAGACGCTCGAAGTGCGCGCTTGCGTATCACTCGTACTGTGAAAATTCGGCTTTTAAAGTATATACCTATTTAGCTCTCGTTTGTCAAATGTCTGTGGCCTAGCTTCACTTACAGACGGACGGACAATTCAATTTGTTACGTTTCAAAAGTGTCTAATTAAGGATTAATTGAAATAAATGCTTTGACTTTGACTTTTTCTGTCGACTGCCGAACAAGGTATCAGCTTTTATTTTTAGCTTTAGAAGGAAACTACCAAACGGATCACATATAAATAACCAATCCCCGAATCCCCCACAATCCTCAAATTCGCAATCGCCAAAAGGCCAGTAACGCACTTGTCACACCTCTGGTGTTTCAGGTCTCTTAGGGCGGCGCCAGTTGCTTGCCATCAGGTGATCCATCTGCTCATTTACCGGAGTATCCTATAAAAAAACGACCGGCACCGCACACAGACACCAGTAACAACAGAGGAGTTGCGGATGCGTTGTCGGCCTTTCGAACGGTTAGGGATTTTAGGATTAGAGAGATTGGGGAGGGAAATATTTGTAAACACACCCGCGGCATAATGCACCGTGCACGACACTTGATGAAAATCAGAATATAAAAGAATATAAAAAATCTTATTACAGGTATAAAGTCGCCTCCACCCTTGCCAACTGCATCGCATTCACTTTTAAAGTCTCGAAAGACTCGTGCACCTCGGTCGTCCAGTCCAGAGCCAACCGTGCAGGAGATGGTGCGCATCATGGAGGAGTCTAGGAGTTTGAGCGATGAGGACTTCATGGAGATCCTCACGTGCCCCAGCCCAGTATGGTGGGAGGATCCTCCCGATGGCGGGTATTCTGAAGGTAATTTTTTAAAGGCATAAGTACTTTCTAAGACTATTTAGACAGAACAGGTCCGCTCAAACTGTTGTAGATCTTTCCTCAAAAGAAAGTTTAAAATCGCCAACCCGCATTGAGCAAGCGTGGTGATTAATGTTCAAATATTCTCCGTGTAAGAAGAGGCCTTTGGTCAGTAGTGGAAATTTATAAGCTGTTGAAGTTGAAAGGTATATGTCATTCTGTGTCCTACATTATAAAATATCAAAAGAAGTGGGGCTATTCGTTTTTTGCTTCGCTATTAATATCTTTTGATTTATATCGTTGCGGGAACCAAGACAGTTATTCACGTCCCTGGGCCGCGCAGGACTTCAGTGTACCGGTGTTTGCATGGTTGTATCTACTGTAGATCCTGGGGCATAGGAGGTGCACGGTTTCAGAGGAGGCGGGAGGGGGAGGTTGCAGCAGACTAAACCTTCCTACTTAGCCCCATAAATTTACAGTCATTGAAATAAATCTATTTTAATTTCATTTCAGATTCAATAATCATGATATCACCAGAACCACCAGCAGAAAAAACAACTGGAAATAAAAAACGTAAAATGTTCATCAACCCACCAAACGACAATGAAATTAAAACAGATAATAAAACAGACGAAAAGTTCGTAAAGAAGAAACTAAAGCTTGAAAATGTACTAGGCAATATAAAGAATAAATGCATAAAACAAATTGATAATCCAAAAAATGAAATTACTGACGAACCGATTATAAAATTATCTGAAAGCGAAGGAGAAATATCTGATTTAAGTTTCAATGAAGAAGAAATACTTAAAAATCTCGAAAATATGGATATACCGGTTGAAACTTTGATTAAACGTGAACAAGATACCGCAACAGTAGTGAAAAAAGAAAGTCTTGAACAATCCGATAGTAGAATAACTCAAAAATCTGAAAAAAATGATGATACATCAACCTCTGTTGATGTAAAGCCAAAAATAAAAGAAGAATGCGCAATCAATAGTGAGGTTTCTAATAACAACAAGGAAGCAGACTTAAATTCTCTATGTGAAGTTAGTGTACGAGAGAATGATAAGAATTCTGTTGAAAATTCTAATTCAAATAATAGTGTAGATGCTAAATGTAATAAAGACTTGGGATGTACTTCTATCAATAGTAATAAGTCAATAACTGAAATAAGCGATGCGAGTTCAACTAATAAGAAGACAAACAATGTAAATAAATTAATAACTGTCCGTAAAATAAGACCTGAACAATTTAAAAATGACTTTAACCTAGGTAATGAACTAAAATCAGTCGAAAATTCAAAAAACATAGTAATAGATAGTGTTCGTGGAAAATTAGACGACTTTTTTAAACAATGCAAAAGCAGTAAACGTATAAAAATAGGTGACAGTCCGATTCCCGCCATTTCTATGACAGATGTCAAAGAAGAGATTACAGATAATGAAGAAAAGGAAATTGATTGCAAAACGAAAGTGATGAACGAAGAAAATCGACTAAAAAGTTGCGAGTGTGATAATTCAAAAACCGAAAACGATAATACGGACAACTCTTGTGAGAAATGCCAAAAATGTAAAAAAGCGGTAATATTGCCATGTCACTCGTGTAATTTTCTTGCCGAAACTAATGAAGTTTACAAAAAACATATATTGTCTTGTAAAGATGTAGCTCGAATACCATGGAGTCATAATTATGTTTTAAATCAGACTTAAATGTATATAGTTTTTTAGTTGTATACATATGATGTGAATTCAGCCTTAAAAAAACCATGAGTTTTTAAAATTAAAAATGTTTACCGGGCTGGAACTAATTTATCTTAAGTACAGTTCACATCGAAACGCATTGTCGGCAGCTAACTTTGAATATGCTCACTATCTGCCCTAGTGTGAACTGTGAACATGGACGCAGTCTGCAGTACTTATCTCTGTTATGATTTATTGTTATACTATAAAATATGTAAACCACCATATTTCAAGCAAATAAATGAATCTATATTCTATCTATCTATCTCACCAAGCCGACAATGCGCTATAGCGTAAGATACGCTACATGAATGAACAATTTTATCTTGATTTTTTCAATTTGCGACGATTCCTAAGAATTAGCGGGTAAAACTTTATGTACTGCCAATAAACAGCGTTGTGAATATTTTACAAAAAACTATTAGTTCTCTGGGGCTTTTTGAATCCAATTCTGATCGATCGACACTGATATTGCGACCATTGCATCCGTATTTTTTGGATATTGAATGAACTAAATGGTATTGAGTTTGCCTTTATATTACGTACTCTGAATGCTATTGTAACAGCTACGATTGTGGTTGTACAGTGTTGACAAAATAATTATTGAGATTGAATTGGATTCGATTAAAAGTAACTTTCAGATTAGTTTCACGAGGAAGCCTGCAGGTCATCTACGAGTGAAATATTCACAAACAAGCCACAAAGGTGCGAGTATACCTGTCCGCAGCATCCTCATCACTCAGAACTGTCAGTAAATAGAGTGAGAGAGAGAGAGAGATAGAGAGAGAGAGGGCGGGAGTGGGACGGACGTAGCGGGTACATACACACGGACAAATACACTTATGGCTTGTTTGTGAACATCTCACGTCGATCTTGGTCTAAGTAATGACTTGGTTCATTTTTTACTTGTAAATAGTGTAATATTGTTAGTTTTAAGTTATATTTAACCATAATTATGTACTGTACCCACGGAAATAGTAGGGGTGACAGATGTACAGAGAACCTAACGGCTAACTGGGGCTGCGGCTCGACGTGCAGGAGAAGGAACGGGGTGGTTTTTAGTCAGTAAGAGTCTGACACTCCCTCCCGCCTCACCCAGGCGGGAGCAGTCATTTGATGATTTTCCCCCCACGGCGGCTCTAATAAAAATGTATATATGTACAATATACAGCTTGACAAAAAAGAGTTTGTAATAATAGAGGTCGCTAGTATCGTGCCTGTAGCAACCCGGTACACTACGACGCAACTGGTTTTGATATTTGTTATTTTTATCGAGTTCAAAAAGAGGAGGTACTGTGTTCGAATGATTGTTTATTCATGGGATGTGGTCCGAAGTGGGTGATTCAGTCCAAGTCTATGTTAGTTCCAGCTGTCACAGCGTCGAACTCTTCTTTGCCAAGCTCCACCTACTGTTAATTTTGTTTTCATTACAGCCGTATTGTTATAAAGGCTGATGTGTAGAGTAGTAGTAGTATTTTCGAAAATATTGTGATAATGTAAAATACCTACATGTAGTAAAGCAATGTAGTATCATGTAGCTAAATGCTAACATAATAAATATGTATATTCGAAACGTTTTTTTTTTAACCGACTTCAACAAGACTTGACTCGCCTCCTAGACTTGCCTCGTTGGCCGAGTGGTTGCAAGTGCGACTGCCGGGCAAGGGGTCTCGGGTTTGATTCCCGGATCGGGCAAAGTCTTAATGGGTTCTTAAAAATATCTCATTATTAGCGCGGAGTCTGGAATTGTGCCCGGTATATGGCAATAGGCTCACCCCCTATTACATGGGACTCATAACATGAATAGTGAAGTGGGTGTTACATTGTACAGTGGCATTACCGTAATGTGCACATCTGCCTACCCCTTCGGGGATAAAAGGCGTGATGTTAGGTATGTTCACTTGTTTCACTATGAATGTACTTCAACAAGAAAAGGTTCTTCAAGAGGGGAGTGAATAGGTTTCTTAAGGGACGACAAGACGCATGTAATGCCCCAAGTGTTGCAGGCGTACATAGGCCACGGTAACCGCTTACCATCAGGTGGGCCGTGTGCTTTTTTCCCACCGCCGGCGCCGTGGTATAAGAAACAAAAAGTTTGACCTATATGTATGTATCTAATCTACTATCTATGTATGTTTTTGAGCGTTCATCTCGCGATAGGCTGAACCTATTTCGATGCGGTTTACAGAGGCCTTAGTACGAGTTTGTGTTACGTAAAGTAATCGTAACGAGTACGCGTTCGGCGCTCAGAGGCCTTAGTACGAGTTTCATTTACGTATAAAGTAATCGTATCGAGTACGCGTTCGGCGCTCTGATTGGTTGGTTCTTTGGCGCCGGCCAATCAGAGTGCCGAACTCGTACTCGTTTCGAATACTTTAAACGTAAATGAAACTCGTACTAAGGCCTCTGATTGGTTGCTCCATTGGCGCCGGCCAATCACAGCGCCGAACGCGTACTCGTTACGAATACTTTAAACGTAAATGAAACTCGTACGAAGGCCTCAGAAAAGTATTTGTTACACTTAAGAAGTTTTAATGTATTAATTAACCGACTTCAATAAAGAGGTTGAAGTCTGTTATTTTAACGTATTATGATCATCATCATCAGCCTTTTTTTTATAACGCGATGGAAATCCCCTTGGAATTCCCACGTCGTGAGGACGACGACGAGGAGGGGTATAGGGGTATAGGGACTCTTACCGGTTAAAACCACCGCGGTGTTCCTCCTTTGCCTGTGGCCGTGACCCGGGGCCCGGGACGCCCTCGCGAAGTCACCGCATATCATTAACAGTAGGTATAATTTTTACCCACTGCTGAGCTAAGCCTCTTCTCACACGTTATTATGATCGTGTGGTTGGAAATTCAAAGATTGAGTACTTAAAAGATCTCCGGGCAAAAACATTGTTAGGATTATTCCAGCAAATCTTATGATTGAACAAACGTCAAGCTACTGGACGACCCCCTTTTTCCCCAACTCCTGATTACCTACTGGCTCCATTTAAAGGTTTGTAAGAAATTGTATTCTGCGATAAGACCATCCATCGTACACTTTTTTTTTGTCTTTATGTTTTTATGGTACATTAAGTGTAGAATAAATAAGCTATTATTATATCAGCTGGACGCATTAGAGCACATTGAGAGGCGTGCCAAGAGGCTCATCGACGATGATGCGCTTGTGACGGCCCGCATGCATTTTGGTGAGTGTGCGGGGGAATGGCAAAACTTGATTCCCACTAGTCCTTTCCATCATCGTAGCACAAGACAGTCGGCGAAGCGTCACCGGTTCATGGTGCATGTCCAGTGGCGTAGCGTGCCTTAGGGGGGCCGTATAAAAATTAGTTTAGGGGCCCTTGAACGATAAACATATCTCACAACAGATTTTTTTTACATAAAATACTTATAATTTGTGTGAAAACCGAGAATCTTAATTACTTTTATTTTTCTTAAGTGTCTGTCAACCTTTGAACGCATGCTATACGCGGGAAAAATCGTTTCTTTTGACTTTTGCGATTACTGAAATAGAATAAAAATTGGGAAGTTTTTATTAATTTTTGCTTAGGCACGTTGGGGGCCCCTGTAGTCCGGGGGCCCCGTATAATTGATACGGTAGATATGGCGCTAGCTACGCCCCTGTGTATGTCCCACCCACGCGCACGAAGCGCTTCGCATCAAGGTTCCTTGTGCTGAGGAGTGAAATTTTTTTGCCAGAGTGCATTTTCTGAAGATATAAATCTGGGTGTCGCATCCTTGCCGTATTCATCTGACTGGGGCCCCCCATTCGATTGCGGGGCCCTGGGCACGTGCCCATAGTGCCCAGTGGGAAAGAGGGGCCTGCCTTTGGGTGATGCAGAGAAGAGTTAATGGTGTGAGCAAGAAGCAAGCAACGATTTGATTGAGCAAATAAAATAGATACACTTGCATATTGCAGAGATAAACAATTAATATATTTCTAGACATTCTGGAAAGTGCTTTTTTTTTAAGTGAGTTAGACTTTACCCGATAACATAACGAGAGCCGTGTGCCCAACTGCCGATAGAGTTGCGGTGTGACGGCAGTACAAAAATAAATGAGGGGTGCCTATGGGGTACTTCATGCTTACCTAGTGCGCTCTCTAGGTTTAATGAGTTTAATCGGCCCCTGTGTGTTGCCACTTAAATAAAACGACAAATAATTTGAAACAAAATATTTATTTCTTAAAATCAGACGCGATGCGCTTTTGACACTCTTTGTTGTACAGAAGTGCTATAGTTTCCTTGTCGGCGGAGCTCAGTTCCGAGTTATGGCCCATAGATAGAGTTCTTTGCCAAAGATGGTCCTGTTAAGAAAATATTGTTAATTTTATCAATCTTAAGGTATCTTATACTTATCATATAAAGCGGAAGAGTTTGTTTTTTTTGTTTGTTTGTTTGTCGCGCTAATCTCCGTAACTACAAGTCTGTTTTGAATAATTCTTTTTGTGTTGGATAGCGTAGGTTTATCGAGGATGGCTATTGGCTATAAAACATCACGTTAAGACTAATAGGAGCTGAGCAGAGCGTGTGAAACCGCGCGGAAGTCGCATAAAAATAGTCATAAAAATAGATATAACATACTGCGCGATATTTGCAGTCATGCCCAAGCCGAATAGTGTTTGTTCTCTTACCTGTACTGGTGTGACAGTTTGTTCTCCTAGCGAGCAGTCTGCACACATAAAATTGGCTGGAGCGTGCGTCACGCTGTCATAGTCGTACGGGGCACCTTCGCCCTCCGTGTTACGGAGCCATGCATCCTCCGAGACTCGCTCCAAGTAATGTTCTGACACTGAATGAAACGATTACCTTACGCTAGTTTGGACATGTAGAAAGTATGGATGAAAGTAGAGTAACGAAAGAAGTATACAGAGCGGATATGAATGGGGCCGTCGGTAGAGGGCGCCCTAGACGGACATATAGTGACCAGATTGGCGATATATTAAAGAAGGGCCAAATTAAAAGTATCCTTAACCGACGAGCATGCATGAAAAGATTGATGACTGTTGATGGAGCGAAAGAGGTACGTAGGAATCGTAGTAATTGGCGTTCCCTAGTCTCTGCCTACCCTCAGGCATTCAAGCGATTAATTGGAGTATTAATAGCTTGAATACCTGTATATGAGACAAAATAGATATTACATTGTGTCTCGCGTGGATCCACGTTTAGACACACGACGGGTTAAATACAACGCAAGCGTTGCTTCACACCGGTTTATGTAACCTAAGATTCAAAACGAGGGAGAGCCATGCTTCGACACAAATGGGCCGGCTCGATCGGAGTGATACCACGGCCGAGCAGAAAACTGATGTGACACAACGCTTGCATGTATTTTATTTTATTATATATGTCGGAGAAAATGCACCCATTGGGGGTACTTCGTCATCGGATTCGTCGTAAAAGCGGTAAGTTCGGTACGGGCTGGCAGAACAACCGCTCACCCTCGTGTCCAACTCAAAAAGTGACGCCTGTCAAATGTCAACATGCCACGCCCCGTACCGACCATCACCCAAGCACACTGCTTGACGTTTCCGACAAATGATAACAGATGGCGTTGTTCTAAAATAACGATACTCGATAGTTGTGCATCTTTGTTGATTCTGCGACATATATATATTATATACATATTTCATTGTGTGAGTGAGGTTACCGGAGGCTCAATTACCCCCTCCCAAATCTCCTCAATCACCGAAACCCCAACAATTTTCAAATTTCTAAACCCCAAAGGGCCATCAACTGGCATCAAAGCGTTAGGAACGCGTCTGGTGTTTCGGGTGTCCATGGGGCGATTCCGATTGCTTACCATTAGGTAATCCGTCTACTCGTTTACTGGCTTATCCCATAAAAACGAGGAAAACCACTGATACAAGTTAGTATGCAGATATGTAGATAGTATGAAAACTCACTCATAGCAACATTTTTCCAGTTGATGGTGACGTAGTTATCTCTGTCGTATCGGTTAGACATCATGGGGATGCCGAGGACTCTCATCAGCGCATTCAGAGTATGCGCCGAATGTCCCGGTGCACCATACGCCATGTGCGATATAGATAGTGTC